CTAGGCGACTTGGAGGGCAAACCATTGGTTGGGCTAGTTCAATCATCTAGTTCAACCATGAAATGACCCAAGTCGCGTCTCGATCATGCGCGGACATCACACTGTTTATAAACTCCGCGGATGCCAAAGGGCGCTCAACCGATTTTGTCCTCGGGTAGCATGTAGCCAGTTCTCAAGGGAGCCGTTGGATCGCACAAATCTCAATCGTCGGTGGCCAAATGTGGTGGGTTATAAATAGGGGCTGAAGGGCCCATTATCCTTTCCATAAATCGTGTAACTGAGTTCTCTTGAGGTCACGTCGGAGTCCTTTAGTTCGCCATTCTGTCCTTTTGTGTCCGATGTTGTTATTGCCTTCTTTGGTGAGTTCGTCTTCTTTCACTAGTTGTTCCCTTTTTCTTTTCCTGCCCAATATGTCTAGTGCTAGCATAGATAGGTTACTTAGCAATTTTAGCAAGCCCGAGGGTGCCGAGGTGCGGTCCTCGGCTCCCGCTGGTGAGGCCAGCTCTTCGCTAGAAAGCTCCTCTTTACACCTTTTAGGAGAAATGCCTTTACCTGACGTCGAGCCAACTTCGGCCCTTCCATGATGACCTCGGACAGATTACTGTCCTTGATAGCCTGTTACCATCTCCTCGACACTGTTGTCTTCAACATTCTTTTGGGTCAATACCCTTGGGTTCACGAACATCACGAGCTCACGGTTTTTGAGGAGTAGCTCATAGCTGGGCTGCGCTTCCCGCTCCACCCCTTCATCATAGAAATCATTAAGTTCTTTAACATCACTATTGACCGGCTACACCCGAACTCCATCTGTACCATTGCTGGCACAATCTCACTTTTCCATGAGTATAATCGACCTCTTACCCTAGACTTCTTTAGCTCGATTTGCTCCATTAAGAAGAACTCTTCTTGCCTGCACGGGGACACCTGGTAGAGCTATTATATCTCTCCTCGCCATGGGTTCAAGGTTCTGTTCGGTAACCCGAACAAAGTATCGGCCTGGAAGAGGAGATACTTCTTTGTTCGGAACCCTAAAGGATGGCCATTCCCGACTCACTAGCGAGTGGCCATTAAGGACCCCGAGGTGAGGCTGGATGTTGAGACTAGGGTAGTCATCTACTCTTGGAGGGACCTCGGCCTTGATATGGAAGATTTCCTGGCCGAGGAGAAGCTTGTACAAGTTGGGCTGAGTCCTCCTGGTAGGCCTCCACCTTGGCATACACATTACTTCTCCTTTTTTCTTTTTGCAGTTACTTCAATTCGCAACTAACTCTTTTTCTTCTCTCTTGCAGAAGCTATAACGTGTGTTGACGCCGCTAACCTTCTGAGGAGTGTTCAGAAGGGAAAGAAGAGAAAGGCCTCGAAGAGGTCTCATCGAGAGGAGGCTAGTTCTTCGGTTCCTGCCGAACCCGAGGTCGCAGCGCCAGAGCCGACCTCTACTGAGCTCCCAGGGGAGGAGGTTCGCCCCTAACCTCCAATTGTTGACCTGGACGAGGATTAGGATGAGGGAACCCCACCTCACGAGCCCAAAGGTACTTTGGTGCCTGAGCCTCAACCCGCCTTAGCAAAGGAGAGCATAATGACTCTGCGGCTCGGGCTTCTTAAGAGCAAGGATGTCGTGTTTTCTACGGAAGTTGCAGAGTGGGATGACATGCCAACGAGTCAGCTCGGAGGGAGAGCAGCTAGCTACTGTATGGTGGTAAGTAATCTACCCCTTAGTTTATTTTCTTATTCTTTTGTCAATGATTTTTTTTAGGTAAACTTCGCTATCCACTAGTTAGTCTATCAATTTGAGATCCGCTTGAAGCGAGCTCGGGAGGCCAAAGAGAACGCTCAGAAGTTTTACCGTGAGTTGGATTTAGCTCGGGGTGAAGTTCTTAGAGTCAAGAAGAGAGCTCAGAGCCAAGAGGAGCTGATCCTAGTTAAGACAGAGGAGAAGAAGAAGCTCAAGGGGGAGAAAGAAGCTCTCCTCCGGGAGAATGAAAACCTTGAGGCGATGATCAAGGAGCGCACTGAGATCTTCAACATCGCCATTCAAGAGGTGAGGATTCAGGAAAGAGATCGCGCCATTAAGGAGTTCGAGGAGTCCCCTGAGTTTCACAACCTCCAGGTCGAGTACGGCTTCGGCTCGTACCGATCGAGCTTCAAGCTCTGCAAGTGGTTGATGCGCCAGAAGTTCCCAGAGCTCGATTTCGGATTTATCTCCAAGTCCACCGTTACTCCAGAGATGGCGAAGGAGGCTGACGAGGAACTTGACTCCTCCAAGGGAGAAAGTAACAGCGAATTGCTCAAGGCAAGACCGTCAGGGGAGGCAGACCGAGATGACGTGGAGGGGGACCACATGGAGACCGACCTACCTATTGGAGGGAATTCTAGCGGATCTGATGTTTAAACATGCCTCTTTTCTTTGCCCCCCCATATATGATGTATATCCCGGGCCTCCGAGCTTGGTTGTAGTAGTTGTTTTGTTTTTTGTTTTTATGTAATTGATGGTGCGCGATCTAGATACTCCTAGCTGGAGGGTGATCCGAACTCCGGTTACGCGGCGAGCTAGACCAAGTTGCAGAATAGTAGATTAGAGAACTCAGGGTGGCTAACCCGGCGAGGTTGCTCCGATGCTTAAGTCAGTACTATAGTATGGATGCGAGTTGAATACTTGAATGCTTGAATGCTAGTGAGTAAATAATTACGCGTACCTTTGCCTTGGGGTTTCATGTCCTTATATAATGGAGTAGTCGTGGGCCTTAAGAAAGAGCTCTGGGATCTTCGGGCTGTGTGGATAAGGTCTGTTCCGTTTTTGAAGGAGAGCAATGTGTTGATAAGGTTTATCGTTTACCTCTGATTCGGGCGGAGCTAAGACGAGTCTCGTCGTGATCCCAAGAAATTCGGGGTTCGTTAGGGAGGCCTTTGGAGTCGATTATGTGGCGTTTCGGCTCTTTAGCTCCAAACTGGCACTTCGATTCTTTAGTCCCAAACTGGATTGAGTGACGAGGTGTCTCTACGTCGAGGTGGTTTTTTGGGCCGAGGTGGATGAATACTCAAACTCCGAATGTTGCGAACTAAGTTCGTTTGGCTGAGTTGTCACCCCTCGAGCAAATCACATCTATGTGTCCCCTTCTTACTAGGTTGTGTCAAATCACTCTGCATCACTCTCAATATACAATTTTTTTGTATCAAAGGGTATCGATACTTTGAACCATGATGGGATCATTAACTTTTACATGTCTTGAAACATGTGTTATCCCAAATCAAAATAAGGAGAACTAATTATATAGTCCTTTTTCCCTGGTTACGAACTTCTACCTTTTTTAAGTCTCCTTTTTGCAATTTAAAACTCAATGTTGGACATTTCAACTGTAAAAAGGAGATAAGTCCTTAAAGTAATTGTCAAAGACAACACAAAGTTTCTATATCAAATTTGATTCATTAATATTAGGATTTGAATCAAATTTTATCCTTTGCATTTATGTGGGATTTGAAATGCAGTTGGACATTGAATAGCATTAATTAGTTAAACTAACATTGATCAAAATATTGTATATCATCAATAAGAAATAAACGATTTTGATCTTGTATATATCATTAACAAAACGGATTTTTGATAAATGATTAACAAAATGAATTGAACATGATGAAGAACCTCAATGCCAATGCATGGAAGATCTCAATTGCCAAAACATGCCCAAGCATCCAAGGTAAATTTGGGGTTATGAAATATTTTAGAAACAATTTTCCTCTGGGACATCTAATAGAAGGAAGCCATTTGATTCACAATCAGAACTGAAATCCTTTGGAATCAAAATAGGAATGGTCTATTCCCGTCTGTTTGGTTGAGGCTAAAATTGGAATCGGAATCAGAATTGGCTGAAAATGGATAGTCAATGACCACTCCCTCAAATGGGGAATGTAATTCCTCCATGAATGGGAATCAGATTCCGATTCCACCCAATTAAACAGTTGGAATCAGAATGGACCATTTGAATTCCAATTCTAGACTCCATTCCCATGAGCCGACAGACCCTATGTGATGGAGTGTATGATAAAGGAGGACATAAACATTTTTCTGTGCATATTCTGTAATACAAATCTAAATTGCAGTTAGATCATCTTAGATACAGAGACTGTGTAGAAATACTTCAGAAAAACCATTCAGCATGTATTTCTCAGGTATTATGTCTTATGAATATAGCTCACTAAAACTGTAAGATTGGTTTATTTGATATACTTTTAAGACCTACGGATAGGGCAAGCTGGTTGGAAAGGTCGACTTGGGATCCATTCCTGCCTACCCCTTGTTGTGTACCCCATGGAACAAATCAAGCCTGGCTATTCAAGCTCTACTCAGACCAAGGTTTAAAGTATTAACACGTATCGGCCCGTATTGGCCAATATGTGTCATTCCGGGACTCCCCTGATATGCCCCTACAGTGGGTGTATCGGGGGTCTGACCAGTTCAGGGGGTAGAGACCTAAACCGGCCCCCCTGAACCGGTTGCAGAAAAAAGAAAGATGTATAAAAATGCAGTATCAATTCACCCGATACACCCCTACCAGCATACCGGGCATATCAATATTTTGAACCTTGATTCAGACTCAAGTTTGCAGCTCAAAACTCGATTAGGCTTGCAAGCCACTTGAATCGGGTATTACCTAGCTCAAACCTGACAAACTGCTCCACTCAAACTAAATTATCTGCAAATCAAGTTTTGAGTATTTAGCTTCCAAGTAGGCTCCTGCCACCATATGCACATCTCAATGATCTCATTATATCCTAACATTTCTCAAGCATAATCCACCATGTTTTTCTATGGCTAACTCTTTTCCACGTGAAAGAAAAAACAGAGGGGAATTAAATCCATCAAAATCTTTACACTTCTTGTCAGACCTCATCTACTCGAGTTCGGAGCACAATCATATGCAGTGCGCTTTTTGTTTCCTTCAACGCCCACTTACACTGCAACTGCCAATAATAAGCATAGACAACATGGAGGAAGCCATTTTGAATGCATAGAATCCAGATGAGCCGTAAAATCAGAGCTTACCATAATTCCATCAACAACCTACAGATTTACAGGATATACCAATGCAAGATGCACGTCCCATACTATAAGAAGACCAAGTTTTAAGTGAATGTCCTACGGTCATCACCAACATTAACATTAAAATCACTATCCATGTCCACTGGCCAACAAGATTTATGCTGACACACCCCTAACTCGATTCGGATGCTAACAAGCAGGCTCCCATACCCACCTTTCAGTTTCCCTCATCTTCAGCACCTTTAAGATACAGAGGTTCGCTGCCATCTCCACCTTGACCAGGATTGCCACCTCTCCCATCAGCAGAACCTGGACCTGCCACATCTTGCTTACTTGCAATGGTCACTCCTCTGCTCGCTGCATGCAAACCTTCCCCAGAGGCACTGCGGCCAAAATCAGGAAAGCCTCCAGGCCCAAGTGCCCCATTGCCTCCCACACCAGCATCATTATGCAGCATGTGAAGTCCACTATTTGCACTAGAGCTCATGCCAAGTTGACTATGCAAAGCTTGCTGTTGCTGCAATGCTGACAATGGCTGCTGGGCATACAATATGGAGGATCGAGCAGCCATGAGTGACTGCGGTGTCATCTGCTGGGCCTGCTGGTGTTGCATGTAGTGTGCACCTGGCTGCATGACAGTATTTGGAGGAAACTGGAAAACATAACATGGATTCAAGTAAAGCGGTCCCCCATTAAAAGGAGAGAAGAGAATAATTAAAATAGCTAGTGGGGATTCGAGGGGTTAATTTATACCTGAGTATGCATGGTAGGAGGTTGAGGTTGGGAATCAGCAATGGCAGCCAAATACATAAGGTTCCGTTGAAGCCTTGCCTGGTTCCTGCCAGAATGCAATTACTCTCAATATAATGTTTTGAACCATGGCTAAGAAATTTGTAATGTAATTATTGATTCACAGAGACGTGGGAACCATATTATGCAATAATGGAGAACTTGCCCAAGAAAATGCATATACTAAACACAGAAAATATTACACTAAACACTGTCTCCATTTCGCTACACACAAAATGAAAAAAAACGAATGATTTCCACATAGAATGCTATTTTATGGTGTTTGGCTGTGCAGATGTTCTTGCAGAAGGGGAGAAAAAAATCAGTTGTAGGATGTCTATATTTTCAGCAAGTGTTTGCTGGAAGGAGGTATTGGTCCTCTTGATTCATGTTATGTGACTAATATCTCTCAAGTCTCAAAAATTCAAGTTTTGTTTTCCAAGTTCATTCAAAAACCAGGAAAATAAAGAAAATGATTTTGCCGTAGCAACATAGCAAAGCCATGGTTGTCCCTAAAACCGGCAACCAACTATCACAAGAATAACATTGCGCAAAACAACAGTGAAACCCCCCCCCCTCTATCTTAAGGACTGAAATAGGCAGTAAAATGGCGTTCATTAAATGAGGTGGGGGCAAAATGAGGGCTCACAAAAAGAGGTGGGGTGGTAGACCTAAAAATGCTTACATAATGAAAGCATCCAAAACGCAGTAGGTGGCAGAATGAGGTTGTATGTGGAAATGAAAATGTAAATGGAACGATGTTGAGTAGCAGAAACTTGGTAACCTAATGGAATGGTGAGGATCACAAAATGGTGGGTGGTGGAATGGAGGCTATGGGAATGTGAATGGGCAGAATGAAGGTGGCTTGCAGAATGAGCAAAATGTAACCATGGAATGGGAAGAGTGCATTCACAGAATGGGTAGACCCACAAAACAGGCAAAGTTGAACCACAGAATGGAGATTAGCAATCTTCAATGATCCCAGGAATAGCTCAGACAGGTGTCTCAAAAGTCCCAAAGACAATTGAAAACTTGCTCTCGTACCAGTTTTGGTATAACACAACTTTCAAAGAAGGGTACCTTGAATAAATTTTACTGAAACAGGAAGAAACCAATAGACTTAATGTACATCCACGAGTTACACAAAAAAAATGAACTTCATTCTAAACATTATACTTCACCAACTTCATAAGAATGACAATACTAATAAAACAACTATACTAACTCGTCAAACAACCTAATAAAACAAAATCTCAACTCAGCCTTAATCCCAAAATAAAACATGAAATATATTCTAGGTATCTTCCTAGAATATTCTCTTATGTATAGTTCCATATTGGGCTGGCTTTAGCAGACATGCAATAAGAGAAGCTACTAAAGCTTGGGGCATAAGAATAATAAGGGAACCCCACAGGTATGGGCCTATGGCCTAAACAAGGTCAACTTGTACTGCATCACAACTCCCCCAGTATTGATCATCTATATTAAATGCAGTCCTTGGAACTCAATGAACTTATTGCACACTATTTGGTGGAAACTGAGTCATGTTTTTTCTAGTTAAAGAACCAATCCATTTTCTTCATTTATTTACAAAAAAAATTCTTGTCCAGGTGCCTAGCAATAAGATGATTTTAATCCCCCTTCTGTTTCTTTAACATTTGCAAGTAATAATCAGTCTACTGATGGTGATAATGATATTGCATCCAAATGGAAATCATACATTTATGCTGCTTCCTCTGGGAAAAGACATTTGTCATTGTGCAGTGATTAGACACTTCTTACACAATAAAACTAGAGCATCCATAGAATAACAGAATACACACTAAATACTAAACCATCAAGAAATATTACTTAACTACAATAGATCAAGTCATTACGATAAGAAAGAACCTGTAGGGTCAAATCATCAATATGTTCCATGAAATTAAATACGCTCAGGAGAATATGTGACAATTTAATTATGAACTTGACAACTCCCAACTTCCAATTAACATTCCAGGTCCAGGAAACTAATGAATCAACACTAGTTAGAAAATTAAAGCTTTAACAACTTATAAACACAATCAAATCATTATGGATTAACAAAATGGTGTAAATCCAGACTTACTCTGCACATTCACTCAATTTTCCAGAGTTCTGGTTCTCAAGAATCTTCAGAATCAAAGACTTGTTCTCATCCAAATACTGCACATATAAATCCAAAATGAAACAGGAAATACTAAAGCTAATTATGTAATAGAAGATGAAGTAAATAAGAAAACAAGTTTAATCCACAATGAAAAAAAGGTGAAACGAAAGCTTAATTTGAGAGAAATGAAAATCAAATCAACGTTGAGAATCAGCAACTTGTTCTCATCCAGATTCTGTGCATGTTAATCCACAATGAAACACAAGATGCAGGAGCTAATTAAATAATAGATAATAAAGTGGACAACAAACAAATTGAAAGGAAATATGATCAAGGACTGAGTACTGGCCAGTCTGGCCTTACTAGGAATTTTCAGAGGATTCCAAAAACTCTTTTAGCTCCAACTTCCAGTCTACCCTTGGAATTGGATTTAGTCTGTCCTAAGATTTTTAATAGTGGATGTATCTGATGCCATCTACTTTTCATGGTTCTATACCTTTTGTGAGAACTGATTGTAGTGTCTTGTATTGGGTGCAATCTCATCACCCTTTCATGTACTGTACCTTCTTTTCTGTTTAATTGTTATATTTTGCTATAAAAAACAAACTAGAGGGGCAGAAAATTTGAAATGAAACAAAAGTGAGAAAGGGAAAGCTGGATTGGAAAGAAAATGAGACCAAGATCAATGTTGAGAGGAAGCTACAAGAAAAAAAAAACAATGACAGAATCTGCTGAACACCCACTCCCCATTCCATAATGTCCGAACAAATGATGCTTGAACAGGATAAGACCACAAAAAACTCAAGAGTTCTTCTGTGTGTGTGTGCAGAAAACCCCCGTTGAAACTGTGTAAGCCAATCTGGTCAATATACATGAAATTCAATGACAAACACCCAATCAGGAGATTGGAAGGCTGAACCGGCCAACAGGTTGATCTGAAAATTGGCAAGTGAACAAGAACCAACCTGGAATTAGTTACTAAAGAGATCAAATTTGATTAGGAGAAACAACAACAGCAACTCGCATTCAAATACTAAACAGAAAAGGGGCACATATAAGGGTCACAACATTATTGCCGGCCTCTAAGTTTGCAGATTAATTCTTCGTTTTCTAAGTTTAACTGTTGTCCTGACCCTGAATAAGGATATAGAGCTCATTTACTCTAGATCTGTAGATGAAATCTGATCATGAATTCAATCATTAACTAGTATGTTTGTCTTATTGAAGACTTGGGGACAACCATCTAAAATGTAAAAAAAAAAGCAGACCATGAGGCCAAACTTAAGGAACAGAATGCACAAAAACAGATAATTCTGGACCTCTGAGACAAATGCTCTATATCTGTAGATGAAATCTGATCATGAATTCAATCATTACCTAGTACGTTTGTCTTATTGAAGACTTGGGGACAACCATCTAAAAAAAGTTAAAAAAAAGGAGACCATGAGGCCAAACTTAAGGAACAGAATGCACAAAAACAGATAATTCTGGACCTCTGAGACAAATCAAGATAATTGGTAGTCTCCTGGGTCAAATGTAATTCTGGACTTCTCACTGTGGCTAGACCAAACTTGAAGAACTGACCTGGAATCAGTTCCTAAGGCTCAGTTTGGAAGGAGTACAAATCAAATATGTAGAGTGCAAAACCTTGTATTTTGTATTATTTTGTATGTATTTGCATTTGTACTCTTTCCAAATTGAGCCTAAAGAGATCAAATTTGATTAGGGGAACAACAACAGCAACTCGCGTTTAAATACTAAACAGAATAAGGGGCACATATAACAGTCACAACATTATCGCTGGCCTGTAAATTTGCAGATTGATTCTTGGTCCTCTAAGATTAATTGTCCTGGCCCTGAATAAGGATATAGAGCTTATTTGCTCTATATCTGTAGATAAAATCTATTTACAAATTCAGTCATTAACTAGTATGTTTGTCTTATTGAAGACTTGGGGACAACCATCTAAAAAGTAAAAAAAGAAATAAAAAGAAGCAAACCGTGTAGGTGTCTAGGGGAATACAAAGCTTAATTCTGGACTTCTCACTATGTCTAGGGGAATACAAAGCTTGAGTTGAAAAACAGTCCACTTGATGTCTGGAACTGTTTGAGATTAGATGCAAACCAGAAAATAAACAAACAAGAGAGGAAGAGAAGAGAGAGTTGGCGGCAATGAGTGTTAGAGAGTAAGAGGTTCGAACATAACCTCTCTCTAACACTCTAAACATCTTATTAAGAAGTTAATCTTTGACAAATTACAGAGAGGCCCTAGAGTGGGCAGGAAAATACAAAAAACAGAACATTACAGAGTATGGGCCCAGAATAAGGCCCATAACAGAGAGAAACATAACATAACATGAAACGACAGTCTATGGGCCATTCGGCCCATCTCCTCTACAGCTTGATTTGATCAAAACCTTCTGTATCTGCAGATACAGTAGCACATGATTGAACCAATCATCCTTGACTTCAGCCAATCCATGAATATTCAGAAATTATGCATAAGTTAACTTGCCTTAAATCCTTAATATGTTTTTATGAAAAGAACATAATAGGAACTAAATATCACGTGAATATCTTTGCCTCATCATCTGAAGAAAAAAACAAAAACATTTTCTCTGCATTTCATAACTTAAAAGTTATGTTCATCTACAGCATAGCCAAGGTATCTCTAGTTATATCAACAGGCAAAAAGTAGTACTTTATGATAGACATGACCACAAGTGAAAATATGGAACCACATACTTAATTCTAGCAATTAAATGATCTAAAAACATATATTTGGGACAAGGCTTTACTGAGTTGTTGAGAAAACTGGATAAACCACAAGTCATTGTCTAGTTTCCATTTCCTTCATCATTTGGATCCTCAAATCCCTATGCAGTCTTCCAATGTCATAAAGCCTTAGCATCCTAAAGTTAACAAGCTTTTCATCAATGTTTTAAGAGGCAACCTCAAAATGCCCTGCGGCACAAGCTGGAGACATTGATGTCTCTGGGGCATACACTCGGATGCCTTTTGTATGAGACATACCAAAGGCATATGCCCCATGCACCTCATGCAGCCTCGTAGAGAAAGAAAAGAAAGAAAAGAAAATGGCCCCTTTGAGCTAGCATTATTCATCCCCATTCTTCTTAATACAACATATCTTTCATAAAAAAGAAATAAGGAAAAACAAAAAACTCCTCCTCATTCTTCTTACTCTTGAGGAAGCTTATGCCTCCTCCCCAACGCATTCCAACTATGGGCCATTGCTTTGTGCAATGATAAAATCTTGGGCTGACAAGCATGAGAACACGGGTTCAAATCTGAGAAGGCCACTTTGTGCAAAAACAAAACAAAGTGTAGCTCCATATCCAGTCCACCTCTCCCAAGACCCTAAGTAGCTAGAGCCAACAATAGGTAATGGCCTGTAACATCACACAATCGTGTGACATTACAAATGTTTAAGAATCTAGTGTGTATATGAGAAATACAAGCATGATATTATCTTAAATAACCAGAGATAAACACTAACAAATGGTTGGCTTCATTAATGCTAATTTCCAGGCAAGCATATTCTATTATAGACAGACTGGTTAGTGATGCTGTTGGTAATTTAGTATGGCCCTCAAATGACTAGGCAATATTTTGATAACACTAACTATAATTGTGCTTCTCCATTGCCATGGGTGAACTAATTCCATAGACAGTAGTTGACTTGATGATATAAATAGTGTTGTTTGATGACATTTGACATAAATAATCAATATCCAATAAAGAAACATGCAATTTTGTTGCACATTATTTAGGAGAATTCAGATTTGAATTTCAATGGCATCAGGCCAGGCCTTGGGTTCAGATATATTAAAACCCAAGACACAGATGACTTGTGACTCCACTATTCCTTTTCAATTTTTTTTTTAAATTGATAAATAAACTCCACCAATACAAATTTAAAATGAAGCAAACCCACCCACCCTGCAGCAGACAAATACACAATTATAAACATGAGGCATACACAAAAGACATTCAAGGAATAAGACTATAACCAATCCTCTAACTAATTGAAGGAAGAAAACATAAAGGATTTAAGGTAAACAAATATAGTTGGGATGGAACCCTAACTAAATTGGTTAGAGTACTACACCACAACAATGAGGTTGTGTGTTCAAGTCATGCTTATGAACTCCCTCAATTATTGTTGGACAGAATTAAAAGGTAAACAATTATAATTAGAAAAGGGCCTTATGCCAATTGATTTACATACTGCATCACAGCAAAGAGGTCATAGCTAAGTCTTGCTTATAAACCCTCCACCCATACACCCAAAGAGAGAGGACAGAATGTGCATAATACCACCTATAAATTTCCTTAAAACACATCGAAGTTGCACCAATTATCTTTGCTCATTCTCTAGTTCCTTCCCCTCTCATCAACCCCAATATCCAACCCAATGGTAACATTAAAGACTCCCCAATTAGTGGTAATTCATCCCCTTTCTATTAAAGAAGCTATCCTCTTCTCCACTGGAAATTCTGACTCATATGTGTAAACTTTGTTGCTCACAATGAGATATCTTAGGTTGACACTTGATAAAGCAAGTTAAAGTTCATGCAAAATAATGGGACTTGGGAGTGGTAGAAGGAGAGGGGAGGGATAGATTCTTTCATCATCTTTGAAGAATACTGTCTAAATCTAGACCTTGCATTAATGATAAAATTCACTTGCTACTTTTTCTAGTGAGGCAGAAAACCAGACCCCAAGACCAATTTGCTACAAAAGCAACACAACAGAAAGTAACCATATGGATAGCAGGACATAGTAAATAGAAAAAACAAATAATTACCACCTTTAAGTGGTTTTGCAAGTGCAAGTTAGTCTAAACCACATTCATGTTGACCATATAATGCATGATTCTTTCTTTTGGTTTAAACATGGTTTGGAAGCAGCTAAACCTATGTGACAACGGAAATTATTTTTTACTTTTGCTAACCACTGTGAGAGAATAGGTCCAACAGGTGGAATAGTAGACAAAAACATTGCTGTATTCCCCATGTTACCATGCGAAGTTTAAGATTCCCTCAAACATGAGTTACATAGCCTTGATTTTTAGAACCCCTGCACTATGTATCAGGAGAAGAACATTTTCCATTGATTAGCCCTTTTAATAGAACAAGGTCCTAAAACACCATCTTTAAATCAAAATTATAATTTTAGAATTTTAACAAGGCAGAACAGTTTAGACCATGAAGCACTACATAAATTGGTAGGTCTTAATCCTTAGGATTTTCTTTGAGATTTTCCTTAAGAAAATGTTTGATAGGTAGATTTTTCTTAAGATTTTCTTTCTTTGAGAGCCAGAGTCTATAATTTAGTGCTGCAGGGATGAATTGAAGAAATTTTAATGGGTCACTAGAAATATGAATTTGAGGATACAATGGATGAGGAGATCAGCTAATATGATGGCCGATACTTTAGTTAGGGGATGAGTAGGGATCAATCATATTGGACTCAATTGTAATCTGTAATTTTTCTTTTTATGATGGGAGAGATTGCACCTTGTGCCTCTCCAATGCTTGAGTTGTCTGTATTTGACTAAAAAATTCTTTTACCTATAAAAAAAGATTTTCATTGAGATTAAAACAGCAACTCTGATACCACATATAGACTAGTACTGAATTTGGGACAAGAACCAAATTTTGGATGATAATGATGCAGTTGTTTAAAGTAAAAATTTGTTTTTCAGAGGATTTAAAGGCTTTTCTTGGGGCTGGCACTTGGAAAGCTTGAGAAGGAGAGGTAAAGTAACTTGGAGAATCTTCCTGCAACTGTATTTTGTGCTGTTTGGAGAGAAAGAACAATAGGGTGTTTAAGGGCATGAAGGATACAGTAGAAGAAGCAGTCAGAAGGAATAATAGGAGTATTGTTCTATTGACTGGCTAATCATAAACCCTTTAAAGGAAGAAATTAACTTAAAGATATTCATCAGTTTGGGGGTTCATAGACCTGGTTTAGATGTACAACCCTATTTACGGTGTATCAATGTACAGGGGCACATTGCACTTGTTTTATTATGGTCAATTGAATATCATACTTTACAGTCTAAAAAACAAACAAATATTGATTCAAAATGGTCATTGCTGAAAGTGGAATATCATATTCTTACATTGGGTCTTTTTTTGACAAGTCTTATATTGGGTTGGGTCTATTACAACTCGCAAAAATAAACTTGACAAGAACATAAATGAAATTCTAATTCTCATAACTGGATGAGTTTCAAGTTTTAGGAATCTACTTCACCATTAAGGCTTATAGCTGGTACCAGCACATACCATTTTGAACTTAGAAAGAAAAACAATCAAGATTTTCGATCATATAGGGCACAAAATATTCCAACACAAGTTATTGGGTGAAGCTCATCTTCTAAATTATCTGAACTCAAAATAGTGGTTCCATTAAAAGAGTTACTTGGATCACCAGGTTCCATGTCAATCTGTGTTCTAATAAATGCCCAAACCAGAACCCAGAACCATGTATTGTATGGTTGGTTTTAATGCAGTTAGTTGGGATTTACCTTGCAAAATCATATCTAATAGGATCTCTTGTTAGTATACTACGGTCAAGGCAGTAAGGTATCAACTTACTCGTTTGGCATCCCTAGGTGAAACAATGACTAACTTGGGCATATGCAACAATTAGACTATCCATACCAAATGCACTAAATTCAAAGATAAAAATGTAACTACAATGCAACGGAACATAAAACATGCTCTAAACAACCATGATTCAATGTACAGAAGTACCAAAGTGACAAGTTCAACAAGAAAACAGGGTCTTAAATGCCTAGTCAGTCAACTAGTTAAACAAGTTGACACTTTCAATACTCTGTCTCCTATATATATACTATCCATTTTTATACGGTTTGTTTTTCTTCATGGGGCTACACAACAGGGGCATCCCCTCCCCCTCCCTTAACCCCCCCCCCCACACACACACACTGGTGGCAGTGTCTTTTTTTCACCAAAAGGAAAACAGGTGGCAGCAGGATTTGATCCCAGATTCACAGGTCTCTACTCTGATGAGTACCAACTGAGCCACCATCAGTTGGTCCAATATATACTATCCATTTTAAGGAATTTGAAGTATTAATGATGTATCAAAAAGGAGAATACATGAAGAGGCATGCAAATGTGCAAGAGCTAATAAATAGTAACTCCATCAATGCACAAAAAACAATACAAACATGGAACCCAAGGCATTTGATTAGAGATTTCAAGCTACTGGTATCCACTATGAACCACTCATTCAAATGGATTCCAAGGTCAGCAAACAGTAACAAAAACTTGTTGGAATGGAGTATGCCTGGTCCTAGGAGGGATTTGTATCAAAATCATTCTCAAGTGCTTATTATCTTTTTGTCAGCTCTGAGCTATTTGTATATATGATATACCTGTCCTACATTCCATTTCTGGAACAGATTGTTCTTCTCAATATTAATAAAGTTTCTGTTACAGATAAAAAAAAATGACAAACATGGAGATGTCACTATCCCCCCCACCTTTTCTACCCTGGTTTTATCTATATTGTGTTAGTGATAGCATTCAATTCTATGGGGGTCTCCCTAAACTCATTGAGAAACTGTGCTAGTGTCAAACGTCCAACTCGAATGTCTAACACCAGAATATACCCATTTTAGTCTCTACAATGATTAATGAGAACCGGGCATAGCTTGCAATGTGAATAGTGAATACCCAAAAGTAAGGCTCCAACCTCCATCTCAAATGAGTATGCATCCTCTATTGGGCCACTATATTGAAATTTGAGAGGCAAAATATTTCAAGAAAACTCGTCTAGGACATTGCAAAAGCTATTATCTTCATATCACATTCCTAATTAAACTATATGGACAATCAGACAAATAATGGTCATTACCCACCGATGGTATTTGGCACACTCATGGTTGTCAGCCTGAAATTTCACCAATGGCACCAAGCAATTGGACCCTAGTTAACCAGATAAATAGCAATCCAGACCTCCTGCCCACATGAATCCTACCCACACCTGCCCAGGACACTACAGCTGTACATTGGGAATATCTCCACATGAATGGTAACATGCAAATAGGTGAAATGTTCTCAATGTATAGCTGTAGTGTTCTGTGGGTAGGATTCATGTGGGCAGGATATCCAAACACTATAACTAGCGGCCATACAATTTTAAACATATTTAGACTGTCACTGTATCTATATGTTGGACAGAGTGAAAAAAAAAGAGAGCAGAAAAAAGCCATTACAAGAGTTAACTCGTCACTTTATGTTTGAATATCTTACAGAAATTCTAGCTAATATAGGAAAATAGACTCCTTGGGTGGCATGGGATATTTAGCTGTGATCAAAAGTTGTTTAAGGCTGGTTGAGTAGAAAGAAAGAGAGGGTTTGGAAGGCTAATGTTGATCACCCGAGATGAGAAACGTATAGGTCAGTCATCTGCCACTGATAGGTGGTCACAAGCAGCTAACTAGACTGCGAATTAGCATGCAGAGCCTTAGAAGAGAAATAAAGAAGAAGCAGGTAACCAAGATAGCTAGAGGAGTTAAACTACACTTAAACAAGTAAAGGAGTCGTAGATTTCCACAACATTTTTGTGGATAGTTCATTCCTCATCCTATCCTTCTTGAAGCCAAGCAATCGAATATGCATTTATTGTGAACCACGCTGATCACTAGCTGCAGCCTAAAGGGTTTAAGGCCTCAGCGTTCATAAGCAGTTGGCATGCTAGCGAGGTTATCCCTCGCAAACACATGCCCTACCCACAAAACAAGGACTCCATTACCAGATAAAGTTGTAACATGGAAATGAAATAGAACATATAACAGTGTGGCTCCTAACGAACCTTGATGGATTAAACAAAAGAACCTTGATGGATTAACGAACCTTGGCAGAATTATTCCCAGCATCCAGAGATGACAGTGAGGGAAAAGAGAAACAGAAAGATCAGGCGTATGCATATTGAAAGAATATTCTCTACAAGTATACTTTAGCAAGCATTGCTGAACAAAGATAAAGAACATACAACCAAGTTTCCAACCTTGGCTTATCACCTATTCTCGTCTCATCAAAGGTTCAAACCATGGCAGCAGAATGCCCTCTTAGCAAAGAAGCAAGCAAACTAAGAGGCAGGTATGGAACTGAATCACTGTAAAGGCCGTAGAAAGAAGTTTGAAGTAAAGTGTACAAGGAGAGGAAAGACAAGCGAAACTAAAATAATAGTAACGAGAATGATCAAGTTCTAAACCCTAGAGAAATACTGATATGAATAAAATAACAAAGTAAAACAATGGAAGAAACAGAAGCGCAAAACAGCGCTAACCCAGTTCGGAAGAAGGATAAAACACAAGACAAGGGCCAAACCAGAACGAGCGGAGAGAACATCAGAACAACAAATACCCATTAAACCAAACTCTTCCAGCAAGTAAAAGAAGCCAACACTAGACAAACCCACTTAAAGCAAGCATATCAAAACACAAAAAGAAAAAGAAAGAAACAAGAGAAAGCACAGAGGGGAGGGAGACCTGTTGGATGTGATCTGTGGTGACGTTGTTGGGGTTGTAAGCTGCCATCATGGGTTGCATCTGCATGAGATGTTGCTGCATTTCTTTTTATCTCTTCCACCCAGCTCTCAATAAGCTCCTCCAAAGCACTGCTCGCTACAGATGCTTTGCTTTTTCCTTTTTCTTCACTCTGTACACTTTTATCTATACAAAGTCACAACCTTTTTAGCTTACAACGACACAAACACAGAACGTGAGTGACTTAGGAGGGAAGTGCTACGAGTGACTGAAGGGGTTTTGCCTCTTGCCTGCTTGGATTTTAGGACGCTCTTTTTGGAGGTTTCCCCTTTCCTGGTTCCACCTCCACACCCATCACTCACCAGTGACCCAAACCCAAATCACGTGGGCTAGAAGTGTGTCTGTGTGCTTGGCAGGAAAGAAGCAGAACCTACGACCTTTGTCTGTTTGTTGGTTCTTGGACTCTTGGTCTGTCTCACTCACTGACGTGAGGATTTTATAAGCTTAAGCATCTCAAGATTTCCCCCTGCAAGATTTGAGAAAGAAACATTATAAATTCATTATCCCCACTTTCTTATTCTTTTCCAAGATTACATCTACATTATATGGGCGCGCTGTGTTTAGGGTCCCGATGGGAATAGACCCAAGCCCCAAGGCCACCACCAGCAGGGAATCTTCTTTATTGGTTTGGTAGAGAGAGTAGAGTACAATGACTCTTTTAGTTTGTTTGATCAGTCTACACTGTCTACACAGTCTGCGCTCTGTTGCACTTGCATGGATTATTTATTTATTTATTTATTTATTCTTTACCACGGAACACGTCTCACGTGCCCCCCAAGTTGGCAAATAGCAGTTCAAGCTGGAGTTTGAATCCTCTGAGGTTTTACTCATACTAATGAGTTTTTCCTGCCAATCTGATGTGGTTGAGGGTCTCATATAGATTAGGGGAACACATGAACCATGAAGGTATCTTAGCTGGTTGAGATATATTAGTTATTTGACAAATATAGACATTATATGACTATTGATGTCATACTTTTATAGATTAATAAGATGGTGTTTGGTATCGATGTAGTTTTTTGAAGAAATGGTGTCAGTTCAGCATTGCAGATGTGTTTAATAAAAATGCCTAAAAAGTTATTTGGTTGAGTCATTTATATGATAAATGGCTTTCTCAAAAATCGTGTGAACCATTTATTAAAAAAACACTAATTTTGATGTTTTTTATTTTCAAGACCCATTTTAATGTTTAAAAAACACTAATTTTTTACTATTTGACTTATATGGTGCCTAATGGTGTCTAATGATGCCTAATGGCACTGAGATATAAAAAAATCGTACAAAACATTTAAAACAGATTTTGTCTCATTTTTCAAGACAAAATCGTACAAAATGATTATCTTATAAACACCATCGATACCAAACAACCCCTAAGTGACAAGCTTAAAAAGGGGTCTATTTGCATAGACTAGGACCTGACCAGATGGTTTAATTTTTATTTTTTTTACAAATAACCTCGTGTACGTGTGGTATCTACTGACCTTTCCATGGAGAGCATGTAGTTGATCTTATGCCTCCATAAGTCCTGCCAAATAACCATCTCAACTATCAGCTGAAATCAAGACAAGTATATACTTTATATAATATATCAATTTAGATATAAATGTTACACTTTTCTGCATATCTCAATTTACTAGTAAATTAACAATCAAAACCATCAAAAAACTTTTCTCAATCAACCTTCTGCTTCAATATTGGTTTGTCCTTCTGGGTCAATTTGGGTCGTCCCATCTATGAACATTTTGATTTTGGATTGGACCGAAGCTCTTCCCACCTTCGAAATCATGTAGTTAGGGGAAGGGGAAGGGGCAGGGGGTTAGCGTTAAATTGTGAGTTAGGAAGCGTACAACTCTTCATTGTCTTCTCTCAGTTAAACAAGACCAAGAATCTTTGTCTTAAATGAACCACAGGCTTAGATCCCAGAGTTCATTGAAGAAATTAATAAATTGCGTCTGTATATCCTCATTTGGTCCTGCAGGCAACTGCATTCTTTTATTCAATGTAATAAAATGGTTGATTCGTACATTTTTACATTATTATATATCTGGGAACAATTGCACCAAACTTGAGTTAGTGGACGTAAGAGCCAAGTTAAAAGAAATCTAAATCCTCTTATTTTAATTCTGTTCAGTGGTTCATCCATCCCTAACTTTGCTATTTAAAATAATAAAAGGTTCAGTACTGTCTGCTATTAAACAAATGGAAAATGGAAAAGTTGCTACTCATCGAAATTCTCAGAATGACCTCATTTTCATTTCAATTCTATATTAAAATGAGGATAAACTTATGATTTCAAGGTTCAAAGAACAACATTGCAAATTGCACGTGCTTAAACAATAAGACAATTAGGCCATTATCCTTTGATCCATATGTTTATTGAATTTTAGACCTTGTTTTCAAAACATGCTTGATCGAGTCCACGTTTTGTGCACTGGTGGGTTCATTGGACGCGTGAATGCACCAACCACAATCGACCACGCGTCCAGGATCGAGATTCATAACTTAACGGGCTTTGCACGTATGAGATAACCGGTTTAATCATCCACAAAAAGACAAAAATATTCGATTGGTCGATTGCAGCGGCCAATCTAAACTTGGCGCAACCCATTCCATCTCTCTCTCCTTCTTCTTCTTCTTCCCCTTCTTTCTTCTCACAGGAGTTCATTTTCAAATCATATTCTCCCCCCTTGTTCGTTGTTAGCTCCGCGATGATGAGAGCGATCAAGGCAGCCGTCAGAGTCCTTGTCACCCGATCAAGGTGGGGGGATGGTGGAATTTTTCTCACTGTCGGTAGCTTATGCGTTCACAATGCCGGCGTGCAATGAGTCACCGATGGATGCTTGGATTGGTGGAAGAGAGTAAAAAATGGCCGGTTCAACCAGCCAAACGATTAGTTGGAGAAAATTTCTGTTAATTCGCGGTTAACACATATGATATAACATGTTCGCCTCTCATTCGAGGTTGCACTCATCCAGTGCACCCATGGCTGCATAGAACACAGCCTCTGCTTGATCAGGCTATCATCTACTCTACTATGTGTTTTTAGAGTTGAAAATCATGAGTGGGTCCTGTATCAATGAATAATAATAGATTTTTTATGGAGTTGATTTAATCCCTGAAATAGTTGCACTATACCACTGCCTTCTATAAGATCATTAGGCTGTGTTTGGTTGCAATTTAAATAAATTTGTATTAATGCAAAATCATGGTAGTATAAATGATTTGCGTGTAAATTCTGACCTATTTTTTTGTTTCAAATTTTAATTTATTTTGTTTGATTTCAATACAAATGAAGTAAATTAAGACACGAAGTAGAATAAAGTAAAATCTAAATCAAAATTAAACAAGAAGTTGCATTTTTTACATTTGCACTCCTATGCATTTGTATTAGTGCAAATAAATTTGCACTACAACCAGACACAGCCTTTGTCTCAATTTGGAAGGAGTATAAATACAAATTTGTAGATTGCAAAACCTTATATTTTATATTATTTTATATGTATTTGTATAGTATATATTTGTATTTGCACTCCTTCCAAACTGAGCCTTAGGAAAGAGTACAAATACAAATTTATAAAGTGCAAAACCTTATATTTTGTATTATTTTCTATGTATTTACATAGTACATATTTGTATTTGTACTCCTCCCACACTAAGCCTTAGCTTCAAATTCAAAATGCAAAAGAAATAATTAGACAAAGGTGGTTCATTTCACATGGTTCTATTATAAAAGTTTTTTGCAATTAAACACTTGAATTTACATGCAAATTTTGGAGTGGTCCAAGTAATCTATGGACTAGTTTTGGGTTGGATACTTGGATTTGTCAATATCGAAATCAATTAAGGTAGATTGAATGGACCAACAAGATTTACAGAATTGGACTATTCCAGACTTAATGGTCTTAAAGTATTTATTGGTTTGGTTTGGACCTGATACATCCCTCATGGATTTATATCGGATTGGGTCAGATTGAACCAATATTTAGCTAATCCATTGATAGAAGATAATATTTAGCTAATCCAGTCCAATTAACACCTTTTGGCACTGCATCAGGGGCCACTTAATAACAGGTGAAGTGGCTGAACTGAGGGTCTGTTTGGTTTGCAATTGGAATTGGAATCGAAATCCTTCGGAATCAAAATCAGAATGGTCTATTTTCATAAGCTGTTTGGTTCAGACAGGAATGAGAATAAGAATTGGAATTAGCAAGAATGGGATTTCATTCCCAAAATAGAGGCAGGGAATAGTTGTTTCCTTAAATGGGAGAATGCCATTCCAGAAGGAATGAGAATATGGGATTCTGATTTTAGTCAGCCAAACAGTTAGAATTGAAATAAACCCTATTCTGATTCTAATTCCAGACCTCTATTCCCGTGAACCAAATAGAGCCTGAATTACTTATTATTAGTATGCTCAATAGTTTGAGTCAACCAAATAGATCAAAACCGGTCTAACTCCATTATACAAAATTTGGTATGTATTTTGATTCCTGTTTATAGTAGAATTATCCTTATAGCTTGTGGGTACATATACATAAAATTTTCGAGCAATGAGCAATAGGATTTTCATTTTTATCCAATGAAACGAATAATCATCCCTTTTGATTTATCTAATTTGGATCTTGTAACTTTCTTGCATCCGTTTATAATCGGGTTGGAAGCGGATGTGGCCCATCCAATTCAAAGACTTGAGTCCAATTAATTTAATAAATTTAATATTACATACTATATAAATAAAAAGAAAACAAAATTTTTAAAAACTTTTTTATTTTTTCTTTATTTTAAACACAATAAAGTAGATTCAAATTAAATTAGTGTCTCATACATTTTATTTTAATTTGAATTGAATACTGATCAGATTCAGATGTGGCTGGGTCCAATTTGAATTGGACCGGGTCACAGACCTATTCATATCTCAAAACCATTGCTTGGAAGTTCTCACTTCTCAGAGTTTGGAATTTTGGAATTCCTCTCTATAAATTGCCCATCACATGAGATGAGAAATTAAAAAGCCATTAACTCATGTTTGATAAAAAAAAATTCAAAAAGCTGAAAATAGATTCACATGAACTTAAAAATCAACTTTATAACTTTTCCAATGCAACTCAATCAGCACAATAACCCTCCAAACAGGCCCTCTGGCTCAATGTGACAAATCCACCGACACCATTTGCAAAATATATCAGGTGGAATATTTTGGATTTTTTGGGCCAGAAGTTTGAACCTAACGTTTTCAGACTTGGTTGTTTGAATTGGGATCTTCTATTCACACAGGGCGCCTCACAACGATCTTACAGGCAGATTCCACTGTGTATTAAGAATATTTGTCGTAAATAATATAACACATAAATATGAGAGATATTCTCATATGCACGGTAAAATGTGCTTGTAAGGTCGATG